AGCCTTTTAGTTTCGGCAAGTAATTCACTTTGCTGGAGTCCAAACGCAAACTGTCTTGAATGACAGGTCAGGCAACACTTGTGTTAGATGCCACTGCGCTGCTCTGGGCCACGGAGGTGCAGCTTGGAAACCCAACCTTGTCTGAAGTGTAGAGAGCCCTTACATAGCCACGGTTTGTGAACAAAGGACACTATCAGTGGAAGAAATGGCCAACAGAGTAAGAGAGGTTCAGCTGGCTGTACTGCAAAAACTAAACACAAAACTGTCAGTCAACAAGTGGGTCAGCTGGGTGTGGTGGTCCACACTTTTACGTTCAGGAGGCAGAGGCAGACCGATTCTATGACTCAAGGCTAGCCTGGTCTACATAGTGAATTCTAGCCCAGCTAGGGCTATATAATTAAGATCATGATTCAAAAATAATGACTGAACAGACAATTCTCAAAAAAAAAAAATAGAAAGCAAGAAATTTAAGTGGTCAATAAATATTTTAAAAAGCATTTAACATCAAGGAAATGCAAATCAAAACTACTTTGAGATTCTTCTTCACCTCAGTCAGAATAGCTGTTGTCAAGGAAACAAATGACAGTGAATGCTGAAGAGGGTGTGAGCAAAGAGGAACCTTCACTCCCTGCTGGTGGGAGCATAACCGGTACAGCCATTGTACATATAAGTCTGAAGAGTTCTCACAAACTTAAAGATGAACCACCACACGACCCCGCTATAACACTCCTGGGTATATAACCAGGAGACTAGATCTTACTGCACACACCTGCACATCCATGTTTATTGTTGTTCTATCAACTAACAAGGAAATAGAACCAGTCTATCAACAGATAAGAGGATAATGAAAATGTGGTATGCATATACAATGAAATTGTATTCCACCATAATGAAAAGTATGAAATTTTCAGAAAATGGAAGGATATGGAAATTATATTAACCTAAGAAACCCAGACACAGAAAGACAAATCCTGCAGGTTCTCTCTCGTATGTGGATCCCAGCTTTCAGTGTTCCTATGCATTGACACATGCAGGCACGGGCTGTGGAACTAGGGACTACCAGAAGGAAAAGAGGTACTGAGGAACACAGGTACTGTCAAAGTGGAAAGGAGCTGTTGGGGGTAAAGGGAAGAGGGTAAACAAAAATAAATGAAGCTTGAAACATAATTCTTTGTATGCTAACTCAAAATAAATAATTTAACAATGTACTATAGGTTAGTATGTCTACTCATGACATATTAATAAACATCTTTCACTGACTGGGAAAAACCCTACAACTGCTCTGTGATCTACAAAATGTTGAGTCCACTGGCTCAGCTGAGTTGAACAATTCTATAACCTTGAGTAGCTGCATACCAGACCATTAGGTCACTGAGAAACTGCTCCCAGATCCAGCTGGAAATGTCCATGCACAGACGCTTGTAGTCTTTCTCACACAGCCAGGGTTCAGGAGAAATACCCCAGGTGAGATCACTTTTACTATGAAGTGCTCCTGCACACTCAAATGTGCCGCTTACTGCCCCCTAAAACCCTAACTTGTACTAGAAAACTCTTTCTGAACAATGTAGATGAACTCACGGCATTTATTCCTGCAGTAAGAGACAGACAATCCCAGAGAAAATAGCACCCGTGAAGCTGGCCAACAGCATGAACCCAACAAAGCTGTGGCTGCCAGCTAGCCTCTTCTCGGCTCTCCCAAGGGTTCTTCCCCCTCCTAGCCGTGGCTTCCTGTGAAGCTCCTTCCATCATGAAGATGGCTGACCTGTGTAATCAACAGGATTTAATGTTCATGCTCTCGGTGTCAAGCATCCTCTCTCCGGGTATTTACTATTTGTACTGTTATTTTTGCCAGAATAGGCATTTAAATCCTTTGTTTTTCTTGTAACTTCTAGCACAGTCCTGACATGCTTGTTAGTGCCCAGTATTTGAACAACAAATATACAATGAGTAGGGGTTAACTTTGTTCACATTCCTATAGATATCAAAGTTAATTTCATGAGACTTCTGAAACTTAAGTGTATAATTTTATTTGTATTTCATGGCTTTCTGTATATTTCATACTCCATTCTCTAGTCTTCCCCAGAGTTTATTTATATGTGTGTATATGTTTGTGTGCAATATAAGCAAAATACTATCAACAAAATATCTAAGGTAGTGTTTCTACATACATATAGACATGCATTATAGACCGGATTTTAACATTATGCTCTACGGGTCCCTAAAGCTGTGTTCACTCTACTGCTAGAGCTCGGATTTCCTGGATCCTTGAGCTGAGCAGGGCTGTTGTGCTTTTAGACCTGGGGCTACAGAGCAGTTGGAAGCAACATGTGTAAGAGTGAAGTTCAAGGGAATGGAGCCCGGGTGTCAGTTTGTACATCATCCTGTCCAAGTCCCTTCCACGCTGTTTTCCACGATCCCCAGCTGTGCCTAAGGGCCATGAGGGCTGACATGTGTCCCTTTGCTCATCATGGTATTTGCTTTGCAGTGACCAAACAGGGAAATTGCTCCCTAAACACCCAACAAATGAACGCTCCCTTGCTAGACCCCAGGGCACACACCCCTTTCTTTCTGTCAGGACCGCCTCTGTGTTTTTCCTCTCTCTCCTATAGAAAGGCAGGAAGCACCAGGGCACTGACTGGGCATGGGAGCCTTGGTTTTTTATTTATTTTATAGGCAGAAGAAGGAAAGGGAAAAGTGGGACCTCTCTTCAGCACCCCCTAGAATTTTGAAAATGTTTTGTCATTTAAATACTACATAAAGGAGTATTTTTAGGCATAAATTAGGCTCAATGACCTAAAAAGGATAAATGGCTTAGGAATCTAAAGACCAGAACATTCAAAGTTTTGGGTTAAAGAAACAGACTGAAAATGGAGCATAGTCTGTTTGTAAGTTGGACTGCACAGACCCCAATATCAATACTATAAAACTGGGTGTTACATATTTCCTACTAATAATTTTATTTTTCTGTATTACTATCAATGAGATAAGCTCATAACAATATGAAGAAACCATAGACTATTAATTAATACTTGGTTTACTTTTTTCCTGACTATTTCCACATAGGTTTGGCATTCTTCTAAAATCCACTACCATAGCTGTGGGTACAAACTTAAAAATGAAAAACTTTCTCTTCTGAGCACAAACAGAACATCCTGGCAGTCAGCAGCGCTGAACAACAGCTATCCCCTCATCGTGGCAGAGGCAGAATTGATCTTTCAGTGCAGCCCGAGTCAGTGTGCGAGCTTGCTTACATATTTTCATGTGTATTACTATGACAAAGGCCATTCTGAGTCAGTGTGAGAACTTGCTTACATATTTTCATGTGTGTTACTATGACAAAGGCCATTCTGAGTCAGTGTGCGAGCTTGCTTACATATTTTCATGTGTATTACTATGACAAAGGCCATTCTGAGTCAGTGTGAGAACTTGCTTACATATTTTCATGTATATTACTATGACAAAGGCCATTCTGAGTCAGTGTGAGAACTTGCTTACATATTTTCATGTGTGTTACTATGACAAAGGCCATTCTGAGTCAGTGTGAGAACTTGCTTACATCTTTCCATGTGTATTACCATGACCAAGGCCATTCTGAGTCAGTGTGTGAGCTTGCTTACATATTTTCGTGTATATTACTATGACCAAGGCCATTCTGAGTCAGTGTGTGAGCTTGCTTACATATTTTCATGTATATTACTATGACAAAGGCCATTCTGAGTCAGTGTGAGAACTTGCTTACATATTTTCATGTGTGTTACTATGACAAAGGCCATTCTGAGTCAGTGTGAGAACTTGCTTACATCTTTCCATGTGTATTACCATGACCAAGGCCATTCTGAGTTAGTGTGTGAGCTTGCTTACATATTTTCGTGTATATTACTATGACCAAGGCCATTCTGCTCATCTGCGGAAGAATCAGGCTAGAGTAAAACCTTTTAAGAATTCACTAAGATATGACTATGTAGTGTCACATCTGTGACAAAGTCAGCTGCAGAAAAGCCACTCAGCTAAACCTCGTAACACAATCTATTGTTCCTACTTCAAGGCGGTTTTGGATTTCATCAGCCTCGACAGGCTGAGTTCGTTTAGGGCTTCCCACGATAACAAATGTGGCCTCTTCCTAAGGGAGAGGCATGGTTCCTAGGATGGCTCTCTCTGGAGCAATCAGCACTTACTACCCATTCCCTGGAGCCAGGCCAACACAGAAGCGGCTGTCCTCTGTGTTCAGTACTGCCGCCTGCCTTCCCGCTGAGCATGAGTCAGGCTATGCAGCTTGTTGGGAGTGAGGAGTCAAATGTGTCATTACGTCATCTCAAAGGTGTGCCTTTGGCTGCTGAAGTGGGGAAAGTAAACTAGGAGTCCTTTGTCTCACCCCACCTGGAACCACTGCATGTCAGGTGCCTGTGCTGGCCTGCTAAAGGGAAGGCAAAGGCCACCTTCCTAAAAGCCTGTGAGAAGGGGATTATTGTTGCTCTGACTGAAACATCTGCTTGGTCGCTGGACTCATGATTTGTAAGAAGGGACTATGTCTGCTGCTGAATTCTAAATATTTAAAATTGGCAAAATCTTAGATAAAAGGCAGTTAAAATGGCAAATTGTCTTTGCAGTCATGTTCCAAGGGAAAAAAATCTTTTAACATAATGCCAATTCTTCTACTTTCTAGAGTTTATCATGGTATGTGTGGCAACGTAGACGTACATGAAATTTTCATGCTCTAGACTTAAATATATACAATTTTATTTGTCAATGAAGACAAAGGTAGAGCTATTTTGATAGTAAAAAAGAAAATGCAGATGGTCTCTTTTTTCTTTACACTGCAAAGTAATAACTCACCGCACCACAGCATACTAGCTGAACACAACATCAATATTCTCAACTGCTTGCCTAATATTCTTAGTTCATGAAGGTATTTGGTTTAGCATATGAAGGCCAAAGATAAAATTAAGCAGACCCATGAAAACCAGTTCATCTATTTCAAGTCCACACTGAAGGCATCTTACCCACTGCAGCCGATGACCTTGTTGTAGAGATAGGATGGCAGGCCTTTCAGGTGGATGTTGTTGTCCACATACACGTACTGCAGTTCTCGAGAGCGACCTAAATCTGGATCAGAGAGAACAGTGTTATAATTCCTTTAGGAAGGCACCGTGTAATATACGATCATAAAAAAAAACCCAAATTTCTATTTTGGAAGAAAAAAAAATGAATGTTTAATTCTGAGTGTAAACTTATGGCAGTTGTAATACTGGCTTTTGCGTCAAAAAACATGATGTAGAAAACTTAATCTAGACTTAATCTAAACTTACTTAATCTAGACTTTGATTTTTAAACTGGAAGATGAAATTATCAGGAGTAGAATGTTTGATTTCCTCTCACATTTTGTGACAATTTCAATTGTCTGTTATAGGGCCTTGTTTTCCCTTTTTCATCCACAGAAAACATTATGCAAAGTAAGGTGATAGGTCAGGCTCACAAAACTGACTGTGCCCTCCCCCAAAAACCCTGGATTTTACTTTTATTTTATGTGTATGTGTATGTTCCAGAGTGTATGTCTCAGTACTCCATGTGCAGTGACCGCAGAGGCCAGAAGAGGGCGTTGGATCCACTAGCCCTGGAGTTGTGATGCTCGTGGGTCACGGTGTGGGTGCTGAGAACGGACCTGCACCCTCTGAAACACCACCGACGCTTTAACCACTGCGCTGTGTCTCTAGCCCCACTCCTTCATGTGTGCGTGTGTTTCTGCAGGTCAGAGACCAATGCCAGATGCCTTCCGGGTCTCTCACTGAACCTAGCACCCACCAAGTTGGCTGCACTGGCTAGTCGGTGAGCTCCAGAGAGCCTCCAGCCTGCCTGCCCCCCAACCCCTCCAGCACTCAGACGGTAGGCTTGCTTCCACCACCATGCCTTGCTTTCTACTGAGTGCCGGGAATCTGCAGTCAGCTCCTCAGGTTTGTGCAGCAAGCATTTGACCCACCAAGTCATTGCCCCAGCCCTCCTTCTGCCCTTCGATGAAGATGCTTTGCTTGGATGAACTTTAGTCAAGCTCTTGAACCTTCTGTCACATCCCTCCCTCTGTACTTCCTTGTAAAATGTAGTTGTAATGAAGAGCCCTGCTAAGTCAGCTTAGCAAGAGCTATCCCTTCATATCTGGTCATCCTCAAGCTCCTCGTCCTCCCTCATCTCCCAGGGGATTCTGATGAAGACACTGTTAGGTCAGTATCTCCTTTACCCTCTCAGGTTCCCATCCACTGACCCTGCTACTTGACTGTCAATTTCAATGTGCCCTCACTGTATGTGGAGCTGTCCCGATCTCTCTTCTACGACAAAACCCCACAGCAGAGGCTCCTGTACCCACTCCAATGGTCTACTGTGCTCTAAAGGTGTCACCGAACACGTGTTCTCTTTAAACATTACATACATCAAGATTCCCCGTGGCTCATCTTCCCTGGGATGAGAGACTAGAGGAAGGTGTTGAGCGGTGGGCAGCAGAGGGTAGCTAGATCAGGTAACAGCCTGCCTAGAGACTTAGAAGCCAGGCAGACACGGGAATGTGTAACTCTCCTGCAGCTGCTGGATGAGGAAGAAGTGAGACACAGCCTGATCTCTAATCCAGAGAGGTGAGAAAGCGGACCTGAGACCTGAGGATCTGGAATTAGGGGCTGGGATGTAGGCCCATCTTTTCAATGTCACTACAGTGAAAAGAGGTATACCACAGAGAGGCAGAAGCCACATGTCCCTTGAGGCAGCAAGGCAATGGAGACAGGAAACGTGGGAAGGGCTCCAGCTGGGGAAATGAGGAAGATCCACACGAGTCTACTCTGAAGAAGCACTTTCAGGCCCCAGGGCAGGTCCTCCATGACTCTAGCGTTGAGATTATGCAAATATCCTATTTTTTCTTAAAATCTTCCACAAAATGTTGCTCAATAATTTAAGCATTGCCAATAATTTTACCATGGGTCTTGTTTGCAAACATCATATAGTTATGAATGTAATGGCAATTTTTTTATCGTTATTTTTCTGGCCACATTTACTAACTAGAATTCTTCTGTAAGGAAGAGTCATCCTTTGAAAATATTTTTATACTAGTATAGAATCACAGACCTCTCTATTGTGAAGTATAAAAATCCAATACCATCATTATTTTGTCCTGTTACACAAATGCTTCAGTCTTGGCAATTAGGAACGAATGTGGACTTGCTCTTACGTTCTTTTAACAAGTCCTCATTCTTTTCTGACCATTTCAAGACATTCTGGTAATATACTGCCGGCTTGGCTCACAATTTCTCCGCCAAAGCTCCGAAATTAACCCCTTCTCCAACTTCCTCTTCTTGGAGAAACCCTATCTATGAACCAGGTGTGTCTATGACTACTGAAGCACCAGCACCCGAAGATCTTGGGGCCTGGGAAATGTGCATGTACACCGACCCTCACAGATATACATCTCAGGTGCTAGACATGTCTCCAGCACAAGCTCCGAGGAGTGAGCCTACTGGGTCAGATTCTCTAGCGCTGCCAATATTTCCTTCTGAGAGTATGCCAGCCTCAAGTCCCTAGCACTGGGAGAGAGCATCCTCTCACTCACAGGAAGCAATTCATATCATAGTTTAAAAGTTTTGCTAATTAGGGCTAAGAAACAGAATCTCAACATTGTTTACATTGTAATCTTCTAATTGAGTGTAAGCAACACCCCTCCCCCCGCCAATATTCTATCAGGCTCTTGGATTTTTTTTTTTTTTAGGCAAAGCTCCATGTCTCTGTTACACATTACAAAGACTTTCTTTCAGTTTGTCAGTTGCTATTTGACTTTGTTGATAGGTATTTTCTGGTACACAAAAAACTGCAAAACAATCCCCTCCCCCTGTATTAGAGATGCTAAGGCAGGAGTGTGTGAGTTTGAGGCCAGACTGAACTACACAGTGAATTCAAGACCTGCTTGAACATCTAGCAAGAGAATGTCCCAATAAAACAAATACCAAAAAATCAAAATATTAAAAGTTTTAAATGCAAATTCAGCAGACTTCTCCTCCTGCCTCTGGCCTTAGGGACAGCTAGCTGGCCTCCTTGTGAGCACGGCTAGAGGGCTGGAGCACAGTCCATCTGCTTCTTTTCAGCACTTGTGGGCTTTTCTTTTCCATCCCTCCCTCCTGTCTTCCCTTTCTGTTTATATTTGTAGCCATAATTCAGTTGGAATCTATTCTTATGTTTAGCATAAAATACTTTAGCATTAAACATTTATGTTTAGCTAGTAATTTAGTTTTCCATTTCTCAAAGCATTTTGCTTACCTTTCCACCAGAAAGCAAAGAGAAAGATCTCTAGGATGGCTTAGTGGGCAGAGGTGCTTGCTGCCCAGTCTGATGACCCGAGTGCCATCCTCAGGACCCACACAGTAGGAGAGAACCAACTCCTGCTAGTTGTTCTCTGACCTCCACATGCACCGTGACACGTGCACACAGCACGCTGCACATGAACAATAATAATAATAATAAATCGCTAAGATTATCAAAAGGAAAAACATCACTAAGTACTCCGATTCCAGACTCTAACTGCTGCCAAATCAAGCTCCAAACATGTAAAAACCACACTGAGAGGGAAAGTCAAGTGGTTGTGACATCAGCACCCACGGTACCAGCCGGCACATATGCCTGCCAAATGACACAACACTGCCTGGTCCTTGGGCTTTATCAGGGATAAGCCTCATACGAAAAGTATCTCAAGTTTAAATCATTATTAAATCATTATGCAGCAGACTTTCAAAGTATTAAAGTATGTAATGTACCAAAAGATTGAAAACTGCTCTCTTATTGAAACAAAAAATTTTACACTTACAAAAACAGGTGAGAAAAATATCAACTGATGATACCATATTCCATTAACAATAGAAAAGGCCTCAGAATTCCACTAAAAATATCCATTTCCTCAGGAGTCCTCTGACAAAGATTTTTAAACACAAACAGAAATTTACAGTTTAAAGACATATAGAAAACTTTTAAAGTAAAAACTTCATTTACATATTATGAATAGGCTGCTCATAGTGGCACACACCTTTAATCCCAGCACTTGGGAGGTAGAGGCAGGCAGATCTCTGTGAGTTCAAGGCCAGCCTGGTCTATATAGCAAGTTCCAGGCCAGCCAAGGCTATGTAGTGAGACTCTGTCTCAAAAACAAAACAAAACGAAACAAAATCATAATTATAAATGGTCTCTAATCTCAGATTTGCCTTTTGGAGCCCTGGGGCGGGGCATTCAAGGAAAGCCAAGTGAAGGTTCCTGGCTTGGACTTGAGCAGCAGTAAGGCATGGAGCGCACTAAGAGTTAGGAAATGTAGGGATCAGAGTCAGCCAGCCTGGGTTGAATCTTCATTCTTCTACTTAGATATGTAGACTTAGGATCTCATCTGTATAATAGGGAAAATAAAACTGTCTCCTAAGTTTGGTAAGAATGACTAGGTTTAAAAAAGATCAAGCAGGATTCTTGCTACAGAACCTTCTCTAGTATATGACAGTTATTATTCTCATTATTATTAGTAAGTGACACACTGGGAAGTGTGGCCAATTAAGAGAACTTTCTTTGGCATGCGGCAAGGGTACTAACCCTTTTCTATACTTTAATTGCATAGAAAGAGTTGGAGGCTACGGCCTCTGGAGATGATGATTCATCCCTTCAGGCCAAGGACACCAAATAGGACATGACAGAGGAGGTACCTCTCCGCTCTAATATACCACAGAATTCCTGTGCAAATTAAATGAGGTGACGTGCAGAGATCACACCACCAAGTTAAATCCACACTGACACTTGCTACTTCTTACAGAGTTTAGCCCTCTCTCCTCTCTCTGTTTTATGGGGGAAAGACAACTTGTTAATGATTTTAAAATACTGTTTGGCTTACAGTTTATCTTAGGGAGAATCTAGCCAGCACTTCCTGAGCACTTTGTAATTTATTACATATGACCTTAACAGTATGCACTAGTTTGTGCTATAGCTGAATCAAAAGTAGGATCAACTGTGTTAAAATCTATTACATATTAACGTTTCTTAATATTTCCAAGTAGCGCAATCTGGGGTGGGGAGGAGGGAAGGAAGAGAGAGTGAGGGAGAGAGAGAGA